GACTATTCTGAATGGCTATTGTGATGTGAACAGTGAGGACAACCATTGAACAGTCACTGTGTAGAGGATGTAGGGGGCGCAGCTCTCTGCACTTAAGCATGCTAATTTCCGGAACCAGTAAGAGGCAGTGGTGAGGTGAAAGGAATTTTGAATTTTAACAAATGGAAAGGGAAAAGCAGGCCCTATCAGTCAGCAGTTGTCTAAATATTTCCTTTAAAAGTTTAATTAAACATTGAGACAGTTCTGATATAAAATTTAACAGAAGATTTTAAATCCCAGAGACCAAAGTTTTTTGGTTTTAAATGTTTGTTGTCTTACAGTGCCTTTCATGGTGTGGAATAATTGTTTTTTTTTTTTTTTTTGGTTTTTGGTTTTTGTTTTTCTCCGGTACCGGGAACCGAACTCACGACCTTGCGCTTGCCAGGCAGGCGCTTTTGCCGCTGAGCTAAATCCCCAGCCCCTGTGTGGAATAATTGTTTATCTCACTATCACACTTAGGAAAAGAGAACATATCACAGTGATTTTTTTTTCCTTCCCTATACCAGGGTCTAATGTGCCTGCATGTTGGGCGCTTGCAGTGAATAACCAAATGAGCATAGGCTGTTCTTGTGGCTTCTAGGCAACTTAATCTGTGTCTTAGCAAATATGTAAGAACTCTTTTTGCTAATCCTGGGAGAAAAGCAAGAAGAATAATGCTTAGGAACTTACTGTTGCGTATATACAGGCAATCTCAGTGAAAGGCTCCTAGTTTAATGGACAGTCTGTCCTGGGATGTCTCCCACATTGCTGCTGCAGTATTGAGGTTGCTACTATCCTCACCTCCTTGCCGTGCCTTCTCCCTGGGAGAGACTCCTTCCTAAGGAGTCCTGAATCCCTATGTCATCTTCTCTGTGGTATCAGTGTCCCTGTACCTAGTATCCGTATTTCTCACCATCCTTGTCCTTCCTGAGGATCTTCAGGCCCATGGTACAAAAGCTCTTAGGGTAGGCATGGTGCCCAAAATCCTAGAGTCATCATTTAAACTCCACTGTACTCCATGCAGCTCTCTATAGTGATAGAAATGCTGTATCCGTCCTGCCAGTTCATAGCGACTAGTCACATGGGACTGCTGAGCACTTAAGATATGTCTAATGCATCCAGGGACTGATTTTCAATTTAATTTTAATTTGAAAATAAATAGCTGCATGTAGCTAGTTGCTTTTGTATCAGAACATACAGTTCTTGCCTTATGTTAATAGTTTTCCATTTGTGTGTGGCTTTAAAGGTCCTTCCAAATTGATGTGGGAACCTAATAAACTGGTGATGGACAATATTGTACAAGTTTCCCCTGAGTTAGTTTCTTGTCAAATGAGTGTAAATTAATTTAGGATATGCTCTTTGGCAGTTAACATAGTGATGAATATAGTAATGAGTTACATTTTCCTTATGATACATGAGTTGTTGTTGTTACCAAAACCTGGCGGGGCGGGGAAACAACTTAAAGGAGGAAAGATTTATTTTGGCCCATTGTTTCAGGGATTTCAGTCATAGTGAGCTGGCCCCACTGCTTTTAGACCTATGGTGAGGCAGAAACATCATGTCAGAAGGGCATGGTAAGGAAGGACACTGCTCACCTCATGGCAGCCAGTAAGCAGAGTGAGTCAGAAAGGAAGGGGCCAGGGAACAGATCAAATCCCCAAGTCACACTTCCAAGATCTGCTTCCTTTTACTCAGCCCCACCACCAATTTCTATCACTTCTCAATGCCGTCACATGATAATCTCATCAGTAAATTAATCCACTGACATTAGAGCCCCCCTGACCCAGTCCCCTTCTTTAGGCCCCACCTCTGACATTGATGCATTGGGAATCAAACTATCAGTGAATCTGAATCTTTGCAGGATATGTCATATTCATGTTGAAACATGTTGTATAAATTGTATTGTCTTATTCACTTATTGGACAGCTATGGAGATTTAGGGCTCAAAGAAGTTTTCTGACACCCACATGAAGCGAAGCTATTGCAGGTTAGTTTGTACCTTGTAAACTAGGACCAGACACAGAGTTGGGAGAGAGGTGGCCTCAGATTAAAATGGGACAGCCTACATGTCCCTGCCTGGTCTCCTGAGAGAGGTCTAAATTTAGGTTTCTCTAATAGGCTCTCCCTAAAATGTGGAACACAACATCTTAGCTGCTTCTTGGAGTGCTCCACCACACAGCCTAAGGTAGGTTGTCTTCATGACCTGATTAGAGTGTACTAGAGATAGTGTTTTTGCCCCCCATGATTTTGTGTACTTAGCCTCATTTTTATTTTTTCATTGTCAAACATCTAAATGTGTTCTAACATTGAAGTAAATGTTATGAATTCATTATTAAAAGTAGTTTTGAAAAGAAAAATCTATGCATGATAAATGGTAGCCTTAAGCGTTTTGGTTTTTTTTTTTTTCCCTAAATGGAGTTATGTTTGTCTTTGAAGTCAAAGAAACACGGTAGCCTCTACAGTGATACACACCTGTAGTCCCACAGGCTGAGACAGGAGAATTGCAAATTTTAGGGCAGCCTGGGCAACAGATTTAGATTCGGTCTCAAAAATTCTCATTACCACACACACACACACACACACACACACACACACACACACAGCATTATTTTCACTAAGAAATGTGCTTTCTTTAGTTTTTCTTAAAATATATCACTCTTAGTCTATCCGTAAGTCTATCCTTAATATATCACTCTTAGTCTTTCTGTCTTAGTGACAGAAATGAATACAATAAATTATTTTCTGTCTACCTGGTTTGGGGAAAAATAAATAACCAGCTGGACTAACGGAAGTTGACAGGCTCGCAGTTATGAAGAGGATATCCCTGCCCTGCTCTTGCTTTCCAACACTGGTGTGGCCAGTTGCCTTGCAGATAACCTACTAGGAGAGCACAGATCTTACCCATCTACCCATGTACAAAGCAGAACTATTGACGTCGAGTGCTGCTGTCTTCCCTGCCTGTCCCTGGTAGGACATGAGGCTCTTTCTCCGTCTCCCACGCCTTGCAGCCCCAGTGACGATGTCAGTACACAGGACCACGTCTTTGCACTACTCACCACTTCTGCAGGCCACCCCTCGCCCATAACCTCCTTCCTGTACACTGTTAGAGCCTCCTTCTTTTCCACTGTACAACCTTTCCATCCCTATCCTTTGCAGATCACACCTCCCTCTGCACTGAATAGCAGGCATCAGGCATGTGAACCAAAGCTCTCCTCATAAGAAGAGCTTCTAGGTTGTTTTTACAAGAAAGAAAACTGCTTCCCTAGTGTTTTAGACTCTTTTACATTTAATCTTCATCACCACTGTGTGGGTAGGATTGGCATCCCCATTTACAAGTAGCTAACCTGATAGTCACAACTGTTAATAGGTAATAGGCAGACCTACCCGATTGCAGAACCAGATTCACATACAGAACTCTGATTTGAAAATGATTGATTTGGGAAAGTAAGGAGAAGGGACGGGAGGAGGAGTAAAAATGATCAAGTTGTAATATAGATGTGTGCCAATTCCCCAGGGTGAATGTGATTACTGTGTATCTCAAACACATCTTAACAAAATTTAGAAATGCCTTTTATTATGGAAGTTGCCTGGAAAAGAAGTAGGGAAGAAGATTCTCAGAAATAATGCCGTAGAAATTCTAGAGTGTTTTTCTTTTGTATGCAGTACTTTGTAATTTTCCTTTCCAGTAGTAATTGGCATCAGAATCCTTAAATTCCAATTCCTTTATATTTTTTTAAAGAGGAAAGAAAAGGAAGAACCGTGTTGGATATGTTTCCTTTGTATGTATAATAATGAAATTAACAGTTGTGAAAAGGTAAGGAAGGGAAGTTACAAACCAATGAGGTTAGAGAGAATGGAAAACTTAAAATCTAGGAGTTATATGAATTAACTGATAGGTAAAACTAGGAAACAGTATGTCACAGAGCCCAGAAAGAATTCTTAGAATGTGATAAACATAATAATAACAAAGTAAAAAAGGAATGAGAACTATGACCAATTTTGGACTTAGAAGGAGTTCATTGATTTAGGTTTTACTTGGTAGTTAGATTATAGCATAAGAGTTTAAAATGTTTGGACTTAGGTTCAGCTATATAAACTCTGGCATTATTTCAGTGTTTTTGTTATAAACCAGCTCTTAGTTATGGATGACACAATCCTTGTTTTTTGATACTTCATATTCAATTTATGGTTGCCTTACGTTTGTTACACATTTTTCCTTGATCCTTTTACATATTCTGTATCTCCTGGCTCCTTAGTCTTTAAAAGCATTATTTCATCTTCCTAACACACAGGTGCCATCTGGTGGCCAAAACACCTCCTGTTCCTTCCAGTCACTTTTCTTGGCCAAGTGTTCTAGGCTCTGATTTTACAGACTGACTTAAAGAAAATTGCTGGGAATTCTGGCATTTTTACACATTCAGCTTTTTGACTAGGATAAATCACTTGGTTTCTGTATCTTTACCTTTATGTGAAACTGAGATGATAAACTAGGTGAATGAGTTCCTTAACCAAAAGTTTATTTAAAACAATCAACTAAAAGATAAAGTCAAAGGATTTCTTTTTTGTAAAATGTCCAGTACCCTGAATACCCTGAATTCATTCCTAATGACACTAGCTACTTTCTTTAAAAATATAGTATTACTTACTTGCAATTCATATTATAAAATAATTTCCTAGCAATAGCTGTCATGCATTGTGATTTGCACAAAGGCAACATTTTAGAAGGCTTTTCAACAATAAGGGTAAAAGAACAGAAACTTTTATTTAAACCAGTTATATTTGTGTTTTCTGTACATAACTAGAAATGATTTGTCCCAGTTTCTCCAAGGATACACTAGTAAATTAGACTTTTCTAATATTTTTTTCCTTCCTAGATGATATTTGGAAGGGTAAATTTGAAGTGCTTATATGTTCTTGCAAATATGTCATTATATTAATGATTTGGTGGTGTTATTTTTAATGTGCTTCTTTTTATATTTCAGAAAAGATGTTGGTTTAAAGCGATTTTTTCCTAAGAGTTTACTGGATTCTGTCAAGGTAATTAGAGTCTCCTTTATCATAATCAAATAATGAAAGTGTGCCAGTACCTTTCCCCCAATACTTGTTTTTGAGAAAAAATAAAATGGTGTAGTTTTTCCCCTACATGTAAAGGATATAATGTAAAAAACCAAGTTAATCTAGTCATATTAATAGCAAGTAGATTTTTATAAGTTTAACTTTCTTCCACAAAATGATGGTTTCACTTCTTGATCATACGTGCTGTGGAGATAGATATGAAGCTAAAAATGTTACATGCAGTGTCACTCACCCAGGTCTTTAAAGTTAATATGTGAAAGAATTGTAGCCATAGAATCATGAGTATTTTTGTGGGCCTGTGTGTGAATATTTTCATGTGTATATGGATATCAGTGCATTGTATGTGTATGCCTATCAGTTATTCTCTATATGTGTGTCTACTGGTGTTTTGTGAGTGCATACCAATATATTTCCTGTGTGTGCACACCAAGTGCGTGCACGTGTGTGTGTACCAGTGCATTCAGAAAGTGTCTACTCCAGTTTATACCATGGAGACGCTTTTCCACAATAGTAACTTTGGCAGTCCTCAGCTCTTATCCTTATCTCTAATCCTCTTGGTAACAGGGAAATAACTGAGGCTAGAGAAAGGAAACTGGTTTTGGGTTTTTTAAAGAGGATCTTGCTATGGAGATCAGGCTGGCCTTGAACTCATTATTTAGCTCAGGCTGGCCTCAAATTCCCAGCAGTCCTCTTGCCACAACCTCCTGAGAGCTGGGCTTACAGGTGTGTGCCACCACACCTGGCAGGGAGGGGAGATTTTGATGTGTGTTTTCCCAACTAGTCCAGAACACATATTCAGACATCCAAGTGCAATAGGAAAACACAGACTTGGGGGTCAGTATAGAGTCCAGCTCATATGAGCTTTGCCATTCACTACCCTCTTGATGTAGGGCTGAATTTCTGATTTCCACAATGAAGAAAACATTTTGTAGAGTTGGCATGAATAGTAATAGTACTTGCTGCATAGCAATTCAAAAATAGTGGCAGTTATTGCTCCTCTTCTATTATTACAGAGGTCTTGTTATACCTTCCACTAACTGAGGCCCAAGCAGGAATAAGATGTGCATTATGAGAGAATGTAGCATAACGGTTCAGAAAACTGTCTCCAGTGCCACACTCCCTTGGTAAAATCCTTGCTTCGATGTAAATTGTCTGTGACTTTGGAAAAGTTACTTAACCTTCTGTATTTTAGTTTCCATATCTATAACATATGGCTAAGCCGTAAGACTTAGTGAGTGGGTTTGTATGTTCAGAATCAGAGAGATAAGTACAGTATTGTGTCCAGCATGCAAGGAGAAACAGCATGCTCATCCCCACTGAGTATAGAAGGCACAGAGCCGATATTTTCATAGCATGATGGTGTGACCAATTTCCACATGGGTTTCCCAGCAGTCATGCTTTTGTCTGTTCTCTGAACATGGCATTATTTTGCCAACAGTGGTTGGGTAACATTGCTGATATAACTAGAGCATTCAGGCTGTGACAGAAGCCCCATGTCTAGACCAGTGTCCTGTCCACTCTTAAACCCATCAGCAGAGGGTATGAGGACTAGTCACTGCTGCCCTAAGTCCAGAGACTGGCAGGATTTTCCCTTTCTCATGTACCTTCTGGGTGATCTCATGGGGAACACAGATACAGAAATGTGTACGTATAATATGGTATGAGTGTAAGGATAATAGAGGAAAAGTATACTCTTTCCAAGGTTGTTTTTTTTCTAGTGATGTTACTCTTCACTTTCCCATTCACATTCTGATGTTACAAAACAACAGAGTAAGTTGTTGGGCTTGAGCTCTTCCAGAGTATAATTCTGTTACAGAGCCCACTCTTAGTGTGGCAGAGGACGAGCATACAGACACAGAGGCGCTGTCCCCATCGGCAGGTTGCCCAAAGACCGGTGAGACAAGAAAATAGGCACAGATTTGGCAGTTATAAGACAAGGAGGTTTAAATAAAGGTTGCCATAGTGGAAGAGGATTTGAGGCCAAGAATGAGGTATTAGGGGAACAAGAGAACAATGGAGTTGTGCCTCTCAGGAGTGTTTCTGGTGTGGTCTGGTCATATTCCTTTTGGGATAACGGGAATCTCACTTTGACTGGAATGTCTCTGATATAAGACCTGAGGGGGCTGGGAAGATCCTCGAGTGAGAGAGAGGCCCTTCTGCACAAACTTGCTGGGGGGCTGGTGGGTTGAGGAGAAAATGGTGGAGACATTCAAACATGGGTGAGCCACAGTTTTAGTAACTTTCTGTTTGCATTGGGTAGAAGAATGTGCTACCCAGTGTTAAATTAATGGTTCTTATCACGTGAATAGTATCTGTCAATGATTCTAAACAGTAAAGCTTGGAGGACTCAGAGTTATTACAAGGTCTCTTCAAATCTTTCTGTATAGAAGCATTTCCCACAAGAAGTATGACTGGTGTTGTTTGGAAGCCTAAGACATTATCTTGGGTTTAAAGCGAACTTTAGACTTGAAACAGGAAACTGGTGCAGGTACACACAAGCGGTACTGTGTGAGCACAGCCGAACACCCAGTTCATTGAGGGCCGGCGCTTCCTCTGTGCCTGGCTCTTGCAAACATCAGCTCTGAAAGAGCTCATTATCCAGAGTAAGAAGTGTGATCAAGAAATTATGGTGGCACACACCTATAATCCAAGCACTTGAGAGACTGAGGCAGGTGGATTGCCGTGAGTTCAGGACCAGCCTGCACTATATAGAGCTTGTCTCCAAAAAAATATATCATTGAATGTTAAAAACTGATTATAGTGAGAGACACGTTGTCATTAATTTCCTTCCCTTTGCTTTGAATGCACTTATGTCATTGTTCTTGCCACTTTCTGAATTAATTCTGAAAGTTCTCCTTCACGAGTATCTTTTTTTGCACTGTTGTGGCTACTTGAATGTTCTGAAGTAATTTGAAGTGTTTATTTTCATGACTGTTTTGACTTTGGAGAAGAGCCAGAAGTTGCATGGTGCCCAATCTGGTGAATAAGGTGAATGAGCACGTACTGGGATATTTATATTTGGCAGAAATTGCCATACCAGAAGGAATGTGTGGCACAGAATGTTGTCATAATGGAGGATGAAACTGCCCATTTCAAGGCTGCTTTCCACGTACATCATTTCTTAATCCCTTAATCATTTCTTAAGCCCTTATAATACAGTTCGCCATAGTGATTCTGACTCCTTAAATAGCTTAATCAAGAATTCATATCCTTAGGCCAAGGTTTCTTTACCTTTACATAATTCTTTCAGCATTGTACTTATGATCATAATACTTCTTTGGAGTATGGTTCTATTATAAGGATATACCCATACACTGTATAACAACTACTATACAAATTAGATGGTATTATGACAGTTGCTTCAAAAATGTTGTAAGTGAAACTTCAACTAGCAAGAGATTAATACCTAGTTTTTTGTTTCTTCTGGAATTGTAGAAACGCTAAGTCAGGTAATACTTGTTTTTCTATAAATAAGCTATGTCAGTGCATTTGTTTTTCAAAAGCCATTTTGTTCTGCCTGCCCTGTTCCTTTTCCTTGTATTTATGTTTCTAGAGGATTGTTCAGTTCTCACATTGAACTGCTGAAAGATTACTTCATTGTACTTGGTGAAACATGAATTAACTACAGTAGCAGAATCTTGGATGTGTGTCCCTCAGCCTCACTACCAAGCCTAATTTGCAAGATATGTAAATTTCTATCTCTGATGTTAGTAGTGCCAGAGCAGCATCTTTAAAATCATTATACCAGTATCAGTAAATCAATCCCCAGCCCAGGGGCAGTCTACAAACAGATTGTACAGATCTACAAACAGATTGTGCAGATCACTCCACCAAAAGTATCAAGGTCATAAGTCATGAGGAGAGACCAAGAAGTTGTCCCAGCTGGAAATGGCTGAGGAGACAAGATATATTAATTGGGGTGGGGGGAACTGGAAAGAAGAGACAGTAATAGCCACTGAGGAGCTCTGTCTCTGGGCAGGTTCTGTGAATCATGTTGTAGCAATGCTGGTGTCTTGGCTGTCAGAAGTATTCACTGCTATGTGATATGCAAATACCAAGAGAACGCCCTACCATCCTGGAAGCCCTGCTGTAGACCTAAAATAAGATAGCAAGTCAAAACAGCTGATTTTTAATTTATTTCAATACACAGTAGAAATCTAATTGCAGAGCTAGAAATGTTAAAAAGTAAAAAATGCCAGGTTTTTTGAAGGATCTACCCAGTTCCAAGTAATGAAATGCTTTCCTAGAATACTTTAGGAGGACTCAGTTTTATGCTCAGAGAAAATAGTGATCATCTTCATTTTTGTAATCAGCAAGAATGCATGGCTTGCTATAGTCATTCAGCTGGGACTCAATGGCATCTACAGTATACCAGGCACCGTGGTGGTAGGGGGAGTGTGAACACTGGCTTCCACTTGAGGAGTTTGCTGTGGAGTCAAGGCCCTATGGACAGGAGCAAAAGGGCTGCTTTGCTAATACTCCTATACTGAGACTCAGAGTGGGTAGGTCCATTATTCCTTAACAATACATTCTCAACCTATGGCAAGTTATAGCCTTGCATCATAACCTCATGTGGGATGCTCCAGCAATCCATTCTTGCTCGCCACATATGATAATCAGGTTGACTAATACGAAATTGTTTGTTAGTTCAGCATGCCTGAATAGCATTATTGTGGCTCTTATTAATACTACTTTATTTTGAAGTGTCACATTCTAGGTAGTTTTCTTGCAATGTGTGTGTTGGATATAGGTTGAATAGTGTACATGGATAAATGCCTTGTTTCCTAAATCTGTGCAAACACAAAGCAGGGCTGAAATGTGAAATGCATTGCCAAACAATATTGCTTGTTCCTACCAGTTTTAGAAGTACATTGATTAATATCAAGAGATTCTACAAAGTAAGACTTTTGGATTTTTTTTCTTACTGGGAAATTAGGAAAGAACTAATGCTTTCTAAGATACCTTTCATATAAAAACCAATTTTAGAATTTTCAAGCTGAGCATGGCAGTGCAGACTTGTAATCCCAGCATTTGGGAGGCTAAGGCAGGAAGATCACCTTGAGTTCAAGGCCAGACTGGACTACATAGTGAGACCCTCCCTCCAAAACGAAAAAAACAACCAACCAACCAACAAAAAAACTTCTTTTAGGCAGCACAGATTGACACAAGTTTGGAATTAACAGTGGTCGTATTAAGTACAGACCGTAAGATAGCTTGGGTGTACTCCTGGCCAAGACTTGCATTTTAGTTGGTAGGGAGCTAAGAGTATTGTTTTTGTGTTGGTAGGAAACCATTTCTGAATAGAACTCATTTCTCTATCCCCTCACTGCTTGTGCTAATTGATTTTGTTGGGTTTTATCACTGTGACTTCTTGATTCTTGAGTTGATAATGTGCTCAGATGGGGTGAGCTAGATCAAATATCTTGGAGAAAACTAAAGCATATTCCCATATTCAACAAATACAATAAAATTAGAGCTTAGACCATCTGTCTTTTAACACTTCATAGTTACTATCTTGAAATATATTTGTCTAGTTACTTAGAAATTTTCCAGCAGGTTAAGGTTAAATTATTAGAATGAGCAATGTAGTTCTTTACTGCCATAAATATATATTTTCTTTTCCTTCCTTCCTTCTCTTCTTCCTTTACGGGGGATCAAACTCATGGTGCTCTCCCACTGAGCTACATCTGCAGTCCTTCTTTTATTTGGGTCCTGGTCTGGCTATGTTGCCAAGACTGGCCTTGAACTTTCGAGTACACTGAAGAACCAGGTACTGTGTCTTCCAGAAACTCAGCAAACTGGAGTAAGAGCTTTTTGATCTTAGCCCTAGCTACAGGAAGCACTGGTAATTCTGTGGGCCCAGTACTGGTAAGACATTAACACACATGAGACATGATAGCAGAAAATGACATCCGCCAGCTTCCATGGATATAAACTGCACACCCTCTCAACCACTGTAGATAGGCTGTCACCTCCATGCCTCAACCAGAGTAAACCATGCCCTCTTGGTTTACCTGTACCTGCCTCAGCATGATAGATCTAGCTGGGCCCTGGCTACACTTCGTTTTCCCAACCTACTGGGATAAACCAGCCACCTAGTCTGTCTCCCTGATCCTGGTCTTCTAGTCTCCTGGCTTTGATTCCGTATCTGCTGAGCCATTAAGGGCTTCTTTTCTGAACTGCACTGGCCTGCTTGGCCAGTTACTTTTGTGCTTCTGACATCCTCCCGATACTTTCTTCCTGTATCTTTACCTGCTGACCTGCTCCTCCCATGGATTTTGCCATGTCAGTTCATTTCCAGTTCTTACCTACCAACACCTCTCGTTTCTGTTTTCAAAATGAAATCAGAGTCTGACTGCTTTTCTCCTCCTTTGTGCTTCTGTGCTCGTGCACACTATCGCTTACTTTGTGGCTGTATTATTTGTTAGCCTCCTACTTAGTCTCTCCTCCTCCTTTCGTACAGTTTATCAGCCTGAATATTCTTGTTAAAACCTGTTCTTTTTTGTCAGTGTGACCAAATACCTGAAAATTACAACAAAGGAGAATTATTTTGGCTTATTGTTTTGAAGGCCTGTGTCTCTCACCCTCTTCTCACACTTCACCATGTAATCATTACCCACTGCTTTTCACAGCTACCTCACATACCATGTGCTGGGGGCATGTGGCCTGGGAAATGCTTGCTTCTCTGGAAAGGTGTTCATGTATAAAAAAGAAAAATGCAAATGAACAAAAATACACTAGGGGCCACTGGTCATCCACTGAAGGTTTTTTTTTTTAAAAAAATAGTTCTTTCAGGCCCACCTGTCTAATACAAGGCTCAACTGTGTACTTTCTCCTAAAGGAATCTTTTTTTTACAGGAAAGCTGCTTTGTCACCTTTCTTGTGTAACGGTATGATACTGTGTTTTAATGTCACTAAATTAGTTCCACAAAGCAGTTTTAGGGCTGCATTAAATGTTGCCTGGGTAGATTCATACACCATAATTTATCCAGCCCATGTAGTTCTGTCATGAATTCTCTTCTTGATAAATCTTGTGTCTTCAATCATTGCTAAAGAATAACATCCTAGAACAGGTTACGGTGGCATACACCTATAATCCCAACACTGAGAAGGCTGAGACAGGAGGATCACTCTGAACTTGAGGCCAACCTGGGCTACATAGTGAGTTTCTGGCCAGCTGGAACTACACAGGGTCTCAAAAAAAAAAAAAAATCTAGAATTTTACTTTTTAGATCAAAGAGTGGAGTTTTAAAAGTTTATGATTTGTGCTGCCCTTCAGAAAGATGTACTGATTTTCCCTCTTAATAGTGGAATGTGTTAACACCTATATGCCTTCATCCTTGCCATCTCTGGACATGTGCATTTATAGTACGTGTTTTAATGTCCAACTTGATACCACTTGTTCTAATAAATCATTCCCTTAACAAGTTTTTGTAAAAGAAATATAGCCTGGACCACTAAACTTTACACTTACAATGGTTAAGATAGCAAGTTTTGTTACATGTATTTTAGCAATTATAAAAAACAATACTTTGATAAAATTATTTGATAAATAGGATTTTATAGTAAGGAGAATGTGTTAAATAGCAGGTAAGACAGAAATCTTGCTATGTATTTTTTACTCATTGCTGATGTGAAAGTATTGTTTTTGTAATTTTATTATGCAGGCCAAAACACTAAGAAAACTGATCCAGCAAACATTTAGACAGTTTGCCAACCTTAATAGAGAAGAAAGTATTCTGAAATTCTTTGAAATCCTCTCTCCAGTGTATAGATTTGACAAAGAATGCTTCAAATGTGCCCTTGGGGTAAGTATGGAAACTTGGGAGACAGTAGACAGTTGGCTTTTCTTCTGCATCAAAATTTCTGATTAAAAGAAAATTAATTTGTAACATTGTTAACATGAGTACTATTTTGTCATTTTACAGTGGGAAAAGTGCAAAAGAAAGTGTATGAGAATAAAATTGGTTTTTAATAGCATGTCTGTGTTCATAATTAGGTTTTTTTTTTTTTTTTTCATAATTAGTTTTCCTTTGGCCTACAATTTGTTGATTAACTGTTCTCCAAGGACTAATTTCCCTATTTAGATAATATTCCTAGGGAAAACATTACCCTCTAGCATGCTGGAATGACCACAGTATATTCCTGTCTAGGTTCTGCAGATTCTTGGTCAATGAAGTTACAAATATCTTATTTAGTTAGATAAATAGCAAATCCACCCAGCTACCACTCCACCCATACCCATTTATCTTTTAATATATCTCTGACTCATGATCTAAAATCTTTGTTTTCCTCCTGGCACATCTGTACTTGCCTGTTTGACCTTCTAAAGTCAAGCTGGATTATTTCAGTGGAACTGGCTATCGGCCCTGAAGAAGGCATCAGTTACCTAACAGACAAAGGATGCAATGTAAGTACACTATACTGGCTTATAAACTTGACTGTAGACAAAGACGAGTCCGACTAAGGAAGTGGGGCACTCCTCTGGAAAGACGTCATTCTGCAATTAAGCCTCCCATTGCATGGTGCTTCTTGCTCAAGGGAAGGAAGATAAGGCAAAGTCTATATCCTTGTTAAGATTATTCATAGGTCTATACTTTTAGAAGTATGTTACACAAATGATGTACATGTTAGTGATACTGGGGTTGGCTTATTCTGATTTATCTGGAGAGGAAGTTTTAAACAATAAATTTTATAAGTATTTATTTATTTTTGTGGTTTTGGAAGTTGATCCCAGGACTGCATGCATGGTAGGCAGATACTCTACCATTGAGCATCATCCCCAGCCCTAAATACAGTTTTTTTTTGCTAAGTTCCATATATAATTATTTGTACTGGCATCCTATGCTTTGAAATAGCTTTTTCCATGTATTCTAGGAAAGAAAAATTCCTACATTTACACATTTCAGCTATCCTTATTTACCTTAACTGAGGTACATACCCATCAGAGGGAAATCCATACTATGTTCCCTTCTGCTAGTCTAGGCTTCTCTCTTTTGGGCTCTTTCTTGGAAATGCTAGCCATTTTTTGAGTGTGGTCTTGTTTTTGTGCTTGTAACAAGTGTTACTGAGCACCTGTTTGTGGCCTAACCTAGAGATCTGCAATATAGCAAGGAGCAAAACTGACAGTAGCTCCTCCTGAACATATCTCACAGTTGAGAGTGCATAATACGTATGGGATACATGTGATGATGAGTACTGAGGTGAACAGCAGCACTTTATGTAAGGAGTGATGTGCTGAGAAGAGCATGTTCCTGTTTAAACAGTTTGTCAGGGATCGTAATTCTGAGGGCTTCTTCAGCCCACTCTAGCAAGTATGCTTTTCCACTCACATAATTTCGTGGTTTAAACTTTCATACCTTTACCTGTGTACAGTTTTTCTTAAGTGTAACCAAATACTGTCATATCATACCTCCTTTTCAGTAGTGCACTACTTGGTGTTCATTACCACTCTGCTTAGCTTTCTCTGCCCCATCATACCTCTCTTTTCAACCTTCCCTGACCCCTTGTAAATAACCTAGTAACTTTTCTTCTGTGATACCCTTGTCTTATTCAGAAACAGTGTCATCATCAGGTACATGTCCATTTCTTGTTGATCTTACTCTGTGAACCTGGGAGGAGTCCTTTCCTGTCCACCTGGCACTGTCCCGTCTCTCTCTGGTTGCCAAATGAGATTGCATGGAGGTCATTTAATGTTCGTTCAGCTTTCTGCTTCAAGACAGTATTCTTTTAGAAAGAAATTTATACACTGCTGTTTTTCTCCCAGTGGAAGACACTTCTAGAGATAAAACTATAAAATGTAATTCATATAGTTTTAATTTTAAAAGAACATATCAGATTGCTTTTCAAAAAGGCTAAGAAACTTCATACTGTCAGCAAGAGTGTATATTTTTCTACTCACTTGACAGCAGTACTTTTAATAGCTCTTTTAATTTTTCTCTTTTAATACATAGGAGTTACTCTTTTTACTGTCTTTGTCGACAGGACAGAAAGCAAGCCTCTAATAAATATAAATAGATGTTCATGTGCTAGCCACTTCTGTTCTACCTCTGAATTAACTGCTCATATCATATACTTTGCCTGTTTTGCAGTCATCTTTTTTCATTTGTTTGTTTGTTTGTTTTTGAGACAGGGTCTCACTATGCAATTCAGGCTGGCCTTCAGCTCACTTTGTAGCCCAGTCTTGAACTTGGCACAATCTGACTGCCTCAGCCTCCCGAGTGTTGGATTACAGACGTGCACCACCACGCCTAGCTATTTTCATCTTCTAAGTCTACACATTCAGAGAGTCATTTTATTTTTTTCCGTCTTTGTTAGTTTTTTTTTTTTTTCTCTCCAAATACTACATTGCGCAGTGACTAAACCGATCAGTCTCAGAACTCCTTAAGATCTCTCCTTCCCTCTCCTACCCTACTACTTACATACCTCATGAATGACCACTGTTCTGATTTCCAGCATCAGTGGTTTAATTTTCAATAAATGCTTCTCAGTCCACTACATATTTACAGAGGAAAACAAAGTGGGTTTTGACCTATCACTTGCTATGACAAAAATTGATTCCAAATAGAGTATAGATGTACATGTGAATGGCAAAAATGGTAACAGTTTGGAAGAAAACAAAGAAAACAGTTTGGAAGAAATCTTTACAACATTCACATAGGCAGAGATTCCCTAAATAGGATATATTAAATGCTAACTCTAAATAAAAATTTTGGTAAATGGGACTACATTGAAATTAAAAACTTTGTTTCATCAAAAGATAGGAGAAAAGGAAGCCAAGTACTTACAACAAGTGTACTTTTCAGAAATTTCTTAATCTAGGCTAAAGAGTAGTTACAAAATTATTAAGAAAGAGAGGCAGTTTAGTAGAGGACATGCAAATAATCAGTAAATAAAACAAGGTCATCAAAAAATAAAATCCCAGCACTTAGGAGGCTGAGGCAGGAGGATCACTGAGAGTTTGAGGCCACCCTGGGCTACAAAGTGAGCTGGAGACCAGCCTGAACTGCATAGTGAGACCCTGTCTCAAAAAAAAAAGAAAGAAACAGAAAATAAGACATGATATTATTGGTACTTCTAATGATAAAGGAAGAGACATATAATACCAACTGTTGTCAAGAATGTGGAGCAACTAGAATCTCATCCTCCACCAGTATGAAGTAGTGCAGCCTCTTGGGCAAACCATGACCATATCCAGCTTTTCTTTAATTATTTTTTTATACCCTAGATCCAGTTTCTGGTCTCTTGATATAGTAAGATTTTTCCTTTGTACATTTCCATCTTTATCTGGAATTTTGTATACAGTACCTAACAGGCATCCACCTTCTTTGTCTAAGGGAGATGATTAACGATAGGGTTTACTGGGGTTAAGCCAGACTGAAGTACACGACAAGACCACTGCCATCTTGATTTTTACACACTGGCTTTGTGAGTGGGTACATTCTCTCATAGTCTATGTCCATGTTTCCTCACCACTAAAACGGCTATAGTAATCACAACTAAGAGAGTTGGTAAGAGGATTAACATAGTACTAACCTGAAGTATTTAGATCATAGCCTAGTTAAGTACTTAGAAAATATTAACTATTACAGTTTTGTTGCAATTGCTGCTGTACAGATTGGAGTTAATAGTTAATATTAATTAAGTGTTCTGATTCTTCATCTCTGAATTGAACAGCATTTTCTTAATCTGCTTCTGGCTTGTCCAGTCTTATCTCACTGATTGCAGGGTTGATTTGATAGCTATGCTGCTCTATTTTCCCTTTTTTTGTATTTTTCTCTGAATGTTCTTGGTCATTTAGTCTTCTAAAACCAAATTATGAAATTAACAAAAAATTGTGTTGGAATTCTAGTTTATAAGTTAATTTTGTAAAAGTAGACTTTTTGGATATTTTGTTAGCTAAGAATATAGTATGTCTGTTTGTTCAGGGATTATTTTGCATCCTTCAATAAAATTTCAGTCTTTTCATGTAATTCTTTTGTATTAAACTAATTCATAAGTATTTTACAGTTTTTGGTCTTATTTTGAATGGATTTTTTGGGCTTTTCCAATTTAAAATTTATACTGTGAGTATAGCAAAATATATTTGGTGGTTATGTATCATGTGTTCAGCAACCTCAACATTCATTTAATAGTAAATCTTTTTGTTCTAGGAGCTTGGATTATAAATGTATGTCACCAGCAAAAATGAAAATTATTTTAACTTTTCCACTGTCGATTTTTTTTCCTTTTCTTATACCAACAAGAACTTCATAGATCAGGTTTCATAATAGTGGTAGATGAGGACATTCCTATTTTGTTTTAGATTCTAATTTATCATTTCAATGTGTCTCATTAGGGCTGGGTTACAGCTTAGGGGTACAGAGTGCTTGCCTAGCATTTACAGGGTTCTGGGTTCTATCCTCACAGTATAGAAAGTGGGTACTTACCTAGGAAAATTTTTTGTTGTTAAGTTTTAGTGATGTCTTTAATGTTTTTAAAGTTATGCTTTGTGACCTTTTCCTTAGATTGTATTAGTAGCAGCTCCTAAGTCTAATCAAAAGCTTTTTAACCTATGTGAATATGATTCAGGTTTTCCTCCCTCCCATTTATATTTTAGTAGATAATTTTAGACAGTTAATGTTGTATTTTAGTGATGTGTGTTGATAACATAGTACTAAATAACTCCTAGTCCTACAGTTATTCTCTGGAAATATTGGTTTATTATATTTGTGAATTTGTATAAATTTGCAACTATTTGTGAAATTAATCTAGATTTTTCATTTTTATGTTAACTCAATAAAAACATAGTATTAAAGTTACAGAAATTTCATCAGATAAGTTAGTAGTCTTTCATAATTTTTAATGACCTGACATTTTATGTTGACTTGTAATTATATATTCTTTAAAGGTTAGTTGAGTTCTGACAGGGTGAATTTGCAATGATAGATCTTTATCTTTATAATCTATTCAGTAGCATTTGATCAGTTCAGATTTTGAAGTACTTGTCAGTTTTGGTTCTTTACATTTTCTTAATATATTTTCTTCATCTTCTTTACACCTTGAAATTATTGCTAGAAAGTTCACTTAAAGTCTTTACAGAGCTAGATACAGTAGTGTAAGCTTTTAATCTCACTGCTTGGTTTGCTGTGGGGCCTTCATTCTAGTGTGAGAATATATAACAAAACTAAGCTTATTGTCATAAAAGACTACAGTAGGCTGATGTGAGAGAGGTTTGGGTGTCCAGTTTAAAGTAGATAGCATCAGTCCTTCTCAACCCTATCTTTTTTATAATAGATATATGTTAATATCCTCTGGCTATCCAGAATTAAAATTACACAATAGGGGCTGGGGCCCCTAGCTCAGCGGCACAGCACCTGCCTGGCAAGCCCAAGGTCGTGAGTTTGATTCCTCGTATCAGAAGAAAAAAACAAAACCAATCAATCAATCAATAAGTAAATAAATAAATAAAATTACACAGTGTTTTGTGTGTATATATGTGTATATATATATATATATATATATATATATATATATATATATAAATTTCAAAAAATCTCAGTAAATGCTCATCCAAAGACATTGGAAGGCCTTAATAAACAGGTGCTCCCATGCAGTAGTGACTTTTAAGTTGAGAAAAGATGATGATAAGTCACTCTATCCAAGTAGTACAGGAAAATGAAGGTCAAACAAAGTTATATGTTTGACCTTGGGGGATAATGCCATAGTAGCTCCCACCACCACCAAAAAGCAAAAGAAGTAACAAAACAGTTCCATATGAAGCTGGGCATGGTGGCGCACACCTGTAATCCCAACACTTGAGAGGATGAGGCCGGGAAATTGCCCCAAGTTCAAGGCCAGTGAAGTTCATGTGTAATTTCTGTAACCTAAATTTCTTACTGTGCTTCAGAAAGTTCTTTTTTAATTTTGAGGTAGCAATAGTAGGGACTAATTGAAATGTTCCTCATTTCATGTGTTCCCACCAATTTAATAATATTAGGCTGTCTGTTACAAAAAGCCTCAGATCTCTGTTATATAGTCCCTACAAATGTATACTGACAGAGGCACATTGTATCAGCAACTGAAATACCACAGCAAGTCCTTCCCTCGGTGGTGACATTTTCCAGAACATCAAGCAGCTCTTAATAGAATTCCCAAAGACAACATGAGATACTGCTCTGTTAAATTACTCATAAATTGTAACACTGGAAGTTTCAATACAGAGTATACTTTATATTTTTAGATGTACTTGGGTTTTGAAATCAGATTTTTCACCAACATAATATATACCAAGGTATTTGAAAGCCATTTGGGACAATTTTTCATTATGGGTGAATTTCTCACACATTATGTGTCCTCTAAGCAACCCTGGTCATCTTTCATATCCCCCATTCTTTGGTCTACCAGAATCTACCCACACCCAGTGAAACTGGAGTACGTCTCAGTGAAATAAGGTTAAGGTAGGGAATTAGGTCAGAGGGACAGGGAGAAGGGCTAGATCATGTAGAATGTTGGATCATGTAGGCTATGATGCTTGCATCGTAGCTTGTAGAGCAGGGAATGATATGATCTGATTTACATTTTTTAAAGTAATCTCGACTTCAGGTTAGGGGCATTATGTTGTAGGAGGACAGTTATGGATGAAGGGAAACCATTTAGGAAACAGTTGGGAGGTTTCTGTGTATGATGTGGTAGGGTATCTAGACTAGAGTAACACTGAGGAGATGAAAAGAAAATGCATGAATTCTGCATATTTGGAGCTGGGGCTGCCAGGTCTTATTGAGAAATTTGACATATGAGGTAAGGGAAAAAGAATTGTGATAATGTTTTCATTTTTCGCTCACAAATTTGGTTGAATATAATGCTTTTTATTGAACTGGGAATTCTGGAAGCAGAAGAACATGTTTGACTGTTAGGTTTGTAATCTCTCGATATATCGATGTCATGCAGGCAGTTAGATCCATGAGTCTAAATTCCAAGGAGATATCAGGGCTGAAGATGGTTACTAATGCCATGGGGCCTAGATGTTTTTCATTCTGCTGTGGGGCAGTTAGGGAGAAGAACAGGGCATTTTGCACACTTCCAATTTGAATAGGGGAGAATCCAGTAAAAGGATCTGTGAAAAGAGACCAGTGCAGTAAGGAAAGATCCCAACGGGGCAGGATGTCCTAGAGTCCAGGAGAGCAGAGTGTGCAGAAGGGCCAGGTGAGCTGCCCATGGTCTCCTAAGGAAAGGCAGAAGCCTACCAAACACACAGATGCCTGAAAACAGCGGGAAGGGTCTTTGTGAGGAAAGGCCAATGAGCATGAGCCCCTTGGTGCAGCGCAGTTCCAGCTCAGTCCCAGTGGCCCTTATAGGATGAGGAGGGCTAATGCTTTGTGATACGCTAAGAAAGCAGACTTAATCAAGCTAATTCTTGTGAAGAAACATATGAGATTCTAATACAAAGTGATCATAGTCATGAAATGGTAGAAGACACTTTTGTATCTTTTAAAAAAATAAAACAGTAGAAACTGGACATGGTGGCACATGCCTACAATCCTAGCACTCTGGAGGCTGAGGCCACAATTTATGAGATTACAGCAAGCTCGAGGCCGATGTGGTATTACATAGTGAGTTTAAAGCCAGTCCAAACCACATAATAAGAAATGGTCTCAAGAAGGAAGGAAAGAAGGAAGGCAGGGCAAGAGACAGGCAAAAAAGGAATTTATTTCAGTGGGAAAAATGACCATAGTCTCTCCTAACGTGCTAAGAGCCCAGTGTGTGAGGCAAATCCTTTGGATACCTGCTATCTCCTTTTGTCCATTGCGCTGATGAACTTTAATACATTCAGAAACTTATGCTACCTTAGTGCATTGTTTGCGAGAATGAGAGCACATGTTCATTCTAACCAAGAACTTTGTAAGGCTCCTTCCACCCTGGCAAGTGAATCAGAGAAGGGATTCCTTTTGCTCCCCTTTCCTTCTCCCCTGTGTCTCTCTGTTTCTATCCTTGTCCCTTGCATCCCTCCCTCCCTCCCTCTCTCCTTCTCCCTCTCTCTCTCTCTCTTTCTCTCTCTGTCTCTCTCTGTCTCTCTCTCTGTCTCTGTCTGTCTGTCTGTCTCTCTTTCTCATCTTCAAACTCTGCTTTCTCTCACCCAGCTCAGTTGTGTGGTTCTTCTAAAAACATCACTAACAACAGACACATGCCAAACCTGGAAGTGTGTGAGATAGTAGCTCCACTAAGCTACACAGAGAATCAGTTTTTACTCTGACGTCTAGTTTTTGGGAGAGTGTCTTCAAAAGCTTGGGACTGAGGGAACTGCACAAAAACAGTTCATGGTATTAGTGAAGTGAGTCATTTATCCAGAATCTAAGGATCTTACCTTTCCTTTCCAAAGCCCACCCATTTGGCCGACTTCAACCAAGTACAGACCATTCAGTATTCAAACAGCGAAGACAAAGACAGAAAAGGAATGCTGCAGCTCAAAATAGCAGGTGCACCTGAGGTAAGGGAGTTTTTCATGATGAATGCTTCATGAAAGGAAGGCTAAAGCATGTTAGTATTTTAGAAATTGTTTTACTTTTAGGATAAATGTAAAGTTTTCATATATTACTACAATTCCAACTTTATTGTACATAATAGAAGATTACATTAAAAATCAATGTTCCCAAAAATAAGACAGGAAACAGATTTTTAAAATCAAGAACATTCTTGTGAGGACAAGTAAAGGTTATCATGAATTATTGAGGAAATCAACTTTTTGGAGTTAAATAATATGAACACTATGACCCATACTATGTAGCATATGACACTCTCTATCTATGCAGTAATAATCTTAGTAATAGGTGAGGTTTATGGGGCATGTGATATTCTCACAATGAAGCAGAGTAGGTACTTTGATATATTGTAGTACTTTGGTTAACCCCATTCCATCGATGAGGAAACTGAGGCACAAGAGGTTAGCCATGGCCACAGTAATTGGTAGAGCTAGGTTCACACTCCAGCAGTCTAGGTCTATAACCTGTGCTCATAATCATTCTGCAACAGTGTGTTACAAGTAAGAAATGTTACAGGAAATGATCACTTGCCAAATACTACATAATATGATTGTGTCTGAAAGATGGACAAAGTACACTCACATGAAAGAATATGAACATTAAGTGGCACATGGTTTTGTGTATGTAAAGCACATTGTTTGGGACTTACCTCTTCCATTGCTGCTCCTTACTGAGGGGTGCTTCATGAGTATTCTGCCCTGATTCTGAGAGTTTGGTAACATCTGAGGCTCTGGGAAGTCTGTTGCTTTTCAAGATTACAAATGTAGCCATATAATACTGAAAACTCACAAATTGAGATTGCTTGCAGAAGTCTCAGTAATGAAGTTGCACCATCATTTTCCAGCCGTCCTCATTTTACTATACAGTGTGCCAAGTAACATGTAGGGTCAGGCAGGTGAGAGCTGTTCCTATAGGTGGAGATTAGAAATAACCACTTGAACTAGGATATACTTGTGCTTGAAAATGAAATACAGTTTTTATTGTCTCCTGGATAACACTTAGAGATAGGTCTTTAGCCAGTTTGTGAAATATATCATTTTTCTGTTGAAAAGAGTGATTTTTAATCCTTTGGACAGAACATGTAAAAATAATGAAATTTTACTAATTTTCTTTAATGTTAGAAAATTGTGATGGATATGTTTATTCCTCATTAGTCTCATTTCTAGAATAATGTATGCTTACTGATTATTTAAAGTCCCTTTATTAGAGTGGGACAGAGTAACCAGATATTTTGAAGCAAAATGTTTTCCTTCTTTTGTTCTGAAAAGTGAGCATTACTTTAGTGATTTTTATCTTTTCCTATGCAGTTGTCTTTTGTCACAAATTTTAGGAATAATGTCCTTATATGAAACTTCCTTTTTACTTAGATCTTCTGACAAATCTTGTTTCACTCCAATTCCTCTGTGTTTTCAAGTGTGTGTAGAGGTCTGATGTCATAGCACAGCTGTCCCTTTGATTGCTGGGAAGAACAATAATGTCTCTTTCTTGGTCTTTTCCCTCGTTTAGCCTCTGACAGTGACAGCACCGTCCCTAACCATAGCGGAGAACATGGCTGACCTGATAGACGGATACTGTCGACTGGTGAATGGAGCCACGCAGTCCTTTATCATCAGACCTCAGAAAGGTGAGTTTCTGTTTCTGCCCTATCATCCTTGTTGCTTTCTTCTGAATGGTTAGAGGAGCATAGCCCCAGCAGCCTGCTTTTAATTCTAGCAACACTGTAAACATGAAGACCAGGTGAATAATTTGGCCCCATATAACCTGGACACTTGTTTCTCTAGAGCTAGTGATCCAGTGCACATTCCCGCAGGCCAAGAGCTGGGTTGGAGTAGAGTGTAAAGACAACAGTGTCTGCATTTATAGTACTATGTTTTGAGCACCCTATTTAGATTTGCCAAGTTACCATGAGTATTTTTCAATAAATTTTTGAGATTATATTCTGAGTTTTTTTTTAAATGTCCATTAACTCATATTAATCTTTCCTGTTTTTTCTTGTATTTCTCAAAAGCTTAAAATAGTTGAAGAACAGAATAAATTCTAAATTATGTGAAATCAGAGATTAAGATGAATAAATGTCCTAAAAAATGTGTCACTTTAGAAATGAGGCAAGGTTTTTTGCAGTCATAGAATAAAAGACGTTTCAGAGGATTTGGAGTTACAAAATATTCAAGGGAAAACATTTGCAGTAGGACCCTAGCATAGTACAAAACACAAAGAGCCTGGGTTTAGGAGTTGTGTTAGCTTGCAGATTCATGTGGTAAGTCTGCTGGGCTGCTGTTCATATGTGCCTGCCTTGCTATGCCACAGTTTTCTTTTCCATGGAGCACAGAAATAGCAGCTCTCTTCTGCAGTACTAGGAGAATGATTTCATGTGTGAGAAATGTTTGAAAGTGCTTGACATGTCCAGGGTTCATAAGTTCAATTATATTGCAGTTCTTCTCTTGCTCTTCTAGTCAATGTGATCTTGATATATAATACTGACCTAACTTTTAGATTCCTCCTTTTTAAAGGAAGAATGATTCCTTTTTGGGGTTGTTGGATGTGCCAAATAGGTTCCATAAACTAGCCCACCATACTGCGGCAGGTGGGGACTCTGTACATAGAATTTGGCCTTAATTACAAGGCTCCTTCCAGCACTCCTGAGTGATTCAGATGATTGTAGGGAATCCTGAAGCTCTGCATCGTTTGTGTCCAAACAGGAAGTACTGAGCTAGACAGGGACTAGGGCAGAGAGACATAACAAGTGAAGGAGATGGCAAAGGCTAGACTGTAAGTCTGCAGTGCAGAAGCCAGCCTGCCTGGTGGAAAGTCCTATGACTACAAAGCAGCTCTAAGGTCAGGTTGGGGATATGGAATGGGGTGTGTGGTTTGTTTGTTTTTGAGACAGAGTCTCACTATGTAGTTTAGGTTGGCCTTGAGATCTTTATATAGCCCAGGCTGGCCTGGAACTCACAGCGATCCTCCTGCCTCAGCCTCCCAAGTGCTGGGATTACAGGTGTGCGTCTTGGTGTGTGTGTGTTTTAAACAGAGGAGTCATGGGACCCTTTGTTTAAAAGACAGTAGTGATGTGATACCCTGAAAACAAGTGCTAATACCATAAACCACACATGTAGGAAGTAAACATGTACAGGATGCCAGGATGGGGCACATGTAGAAGTGTTTTTCACCTGAAAATATCACTATTAATGCTTTTCATATATTTTTTTCTAACTGTATTTGTGGTAGTTTTCTTTACATGCAGTAATAAAATTATTTTGAGAAATGTCTGACAATATCCTTTGTTAGGCCTTTGTAGCCACAAACATTTTGCTTCATTCTCTAAAAGAGTATACCTTACAAATGGTATTTAAATGCTTGGGAGAGTTCTTCCACAGAAAGGTAGTACTTTGGGACTAATGTTAAATGTAGCAGATTGATTTTCTTTTTAGTAAGTAAATTTCTAAATTTCATTTTAGCTTAGAAAAAAATTTATTGATATGTTTTATGTGTATATTTAACACACATTAACAAGTAATGTTCAGATATTAAGCACTGAACCATTTCATATTTCTTTTTTTTTTTTTTTCTGGTACCGGGAATTGAACTCACGACCTTGCGCTTGCCAGGCAGGCCCTGTGCCCTGAGCTAAATCCCCAGCCCCTGAACCATTTCATATTTAAAGCTTCAACATCTTCCTTTGTTATTTTCACTGTTAGCTTCCTGTTCCTATAGAAAGAAACACTTTGCTTTGAAACATGAAATAGTTTCAAACACTTTTAAGAATACTGCTCAGATGGAAGAGCATGAGTGAAAATGCTTATTATAAAAAGCTAATTTTTGGTAATCACTAGTTTTTAATGTTTTACAGAATTGGGCTTGAGAGTTTCTTTTTTTTTAATCATAGCATATTTATGTATTATTACATGCCCATCTTCTGGTGCTAGGGATTGATCCTGGAGCCGTGCACGTACTAGACAGGCCCTGAAGCATGCTGAGGTACACTCTCAACCCTACTTTTTTTTTGTGAACATGACTTTTTTTTCCTTGCAGTACTAGGGATTGAACCCAGAGCCTTCACACTGAGCTACATTCCTGGGCCTTTCAAAAAATGTTTTATCTTGAGACAGTGTCTTGCTACATAAGTTGCTCAGGATGAGCTCAAACTTGTATTCTTCTTCATTCAGCCTCCTAAAGTGGTGGGATTGTAGATAATGTGCCACTACTCGTGACTTAGATCCCTAAGGTGAAAGTATATTGCCATGTAAAAGTCAAGCTTTTTATGGGTTAATGCCATACATGTGAGTAGGGCCCAGGTACATTTTTAATTGAATTTTTAAATTCTATCCTTCTAATTTTCAGAGTTGTAGTTACCAGAAGATACGAGCACAAGATGGGAAAGAGAGATGGGGAAAATTTGATAGATGAGTACTAAGTTGTAATAAGATAGAAATAAAAATTTTGGTTGTGTTAGTGCACAGTAGTATGATAGTAGTGGGGTTATAGATAATAATAATGTATTGTGTATTTCAAAAATCTAGAAAAAAATTTGACTGTTTTTGCCATTAAAAATGATAAATGTTTAAGGAAATAGATATATTTACCCTGATTAAAGTAATTCTGTGCCTGTATTAAAGCATCATATGGTATATCATAAATGTGTACAATTTTATGTTTTTATGTATCAGATAAAAAAATTCAATTTTAAAATACAAGAAAAAAATTTTCACATTACAATTATATATGTCCATCTGTCTTCTTCAAATTACAGACAGTTTAGTGGTGGGCATCTTGTACGTATGTGTGTATACATAATAGATTGTAACAGTAATAAATGGTCAGTAAACTGTATGTGAGCCGTGGCTGGGTCCATATGCACTTTAGTCTTCTGTAATTACTTTAGATTTATAAAGTGCTCTTAATGGTGATGAACGTTGGTGGAAAACATAATGAACGTCCCAAAACAAATGTCCTGAACCAAGTTCTGCCAGCATCAGTACATGACTTTAGTTTGACTGCATCTTGTTATCTAACTTATCCCTGGAAGAAAGATCAGAATCTATTTTACAACTTTACAAGTTCTTCAGTAAACCTCTTTACAGGAAGGAGTTGTACAATTTACCAGTCATAATTGCACCCTTCCTTTTCTTGTGAAATAGCAATAATTGCTGCATGCTGTGGGGGATGGCAGTGCAAAGCACAAGAACCCAGAGGTGGGAGAAGCAAGTTCATAGGTTGAGTTACATAACTAAAATACTTCTTTTCTTAAAAGAGGAACATTTGTAAAAGCTATGGCACAGGGAAAAATACTTTAGACATATACTGTAAAGAATTAGAGTGTGGTCTGCCCATTCATCCACTTCCCAGAATCAGTCCTAAGGAGGCACTGTCATTCTTCTCACTATCTTGTGACCTTCTCACTTTATAAAAGTTATCACCTTATTTACAGCCTTTTTTCTGTCTGTGCTCAGCTACTTAGGAAGTCACTACTTTTCTCTCACAGGAAATAGAAATTTCAACAGGATTTAAAAGAAATAACAGTAATGTGTCATTTGAAAGGCCATATTATTGACAGTGTTGGGTGTAGGATGGGTGGTGGTAGTGTTGGTGGGATAATAAACTAATCACCAAGCTGGATGTATACATACCTGTATAATCTCAGGATTCTGGGAGGCTAAGACAGGAAAATAAAAAAACCTGAGATGTAGCTCATTGTGAAGTCCCTTTTTCAATCCCCAGTATCATAGAAATAAAATAAAAACCAGGCTTTTTCCATGTTTCTTTTTTTTTTTTTTTTGGTTTTTTCTCCGGTACCGGGAACCGAACTCACGACCTTGCGCTTGCCAGGCAGGCGCTTTGCCACTGAGCTAAATCCCCAGCCCCTTTCCATGTTTCTATATGTGATCTTTCTTCATGGTGTGACTTGGTTATTTTGCTTGAAAGTTAGATATCTACAAGACCATAAGTGATAAGAGTTTGACCTGCTCTTTTTTTTTTTTTTTTTTTTTTGAGACAAAGTCTCACCATGTACTGCTGGTTGACCTTGAACTCACTATGAATCCCAGGCTGGCCTCGAACTCATGGCATTCCTCCTGCCTCAGCTCTCACATGCTGGGATTACAGGTGTATGCTACCACAGCTGGCAGGGGATAGAGTTTAAACTGAGTTTCTGAAGCATATTGGGTATCTGTTGTGTGCTGTGTACATAGTATTCTGTAGGTCTCACAGCAGTCCCTGCAAATTAGGTAATGTTACCTGTTTTATAGTGAGTAAACAGTTTTTTTAGGAAAGCTGATTTATGTCTTCCCTTTACTAATGGTCTGAGAGGAAAATTCATACCTTGTACTCTGTGATATTAGGAATACTGCTGGGCATGGTAAATAGTCTGTGCACATGTATGCTGTGTGGTGAGTCCTCTTTAGCAGAAATAGGAGGACCAAGCAGAGCACAGCACTCTTGGAAGGGCCCTGTAGGAGATGGTGTTCCATTTGAGCTTTAGAGAACTAGTAGGCAGAGTACCTTTGAAGGCATGTCTGGCTCATTGAGGGAGGTTTAGTGTGTAGTAGGATAGGATGCAGGAATAGTGAAAAATGAGAATGAGGTAGAGTAGGCAGAACACCTCATTCTCTTTATGAGGTTATTGTTGAACACCTACCGCTTTCCAGGCTCAGGATTGGGGATCTAGCAGTGAACAGAACAGTCAAACCCTAAATGCATGGAAATTTCATGGAGAGGCAGAAGGACAACAAACAAAATAATACATATTGTATCAAGTGGTGATCAACTGTATTAAGAAAAATAAAGTTGGGCTTGAAAGGTTAGAAACCAGGGGGGCAAAGTCTTAAGCTTTTCTGGGATTTATCCACCACAGGCTAGTCACTATGCCCAAGAAATGAGCTGTCTGTTCAGCATTGAAAGCCCACCCTGAATGTTACCCCTGGACGGCTGCCTGGCGTTCTTGCTAGCTGACTGTGCAGTGGCCTCCTCTGGTCATCACCAGGAGGCCTTCGTGGTGCCCTGGTGTCTCCAATGCTTTAATTCCTTTGACAGCTATACACAGTAGGGTTTTTTCCTTATGTTTTTCCATGCTTCCTGCACAGGCTTTCGTGTTGTGATTAGTGAATGGTTTTTATCAAAGCGTAGAATGTTTAGTCCTTTGGCAAGAAATGTTGACTTTAAGAAATCCTTCAACTTGTAGCCTCCTGAAAAGAAGTATTTTATCAACTTGGCATTTTAATTCTTTATTGTGATTCGGCCATAGTTTTTAAACAATATGTACATAACAGTTTATGTTATAGTATTGAAAATAAAACCATGGGAAGCAAAGATTGAGTGTAATTAATTGTAATGACGTGCTTTAAAGATTATTGCCAAAATACCAGATGAGGCTAATCCTTCTGCCCTGACTTCTAGGCATAATTTTTTCAAAAAAACCAAAGGAACTTCATACTTCTTTTTCCTTTTTTTTTCCCCTTGCAGAAGGCGAACGGGCTTTGCCATCAATTCCCAAGTAAGTGGTGTTCTGTGCATATTGCTCTTTGGTGTTATGAAAAATCATAAGGATTGTTCTATATTTTAGCATCTACTTTCTTAAAAAATTAAACTTCTCTCTATATGATCAGGGACCTAGAAAAAAATTATTGTAAAAAGAAATCAATCAGTTATAAGTTAAGAATTTAGGTTTAATCAAGAAGGTTTAAATTAGTTCTCTAAGTTTAATAGGAAGCTAAATGACAATCATGAGTATAACAGTGTTAAACACTCACGTTTATATGATTATTTTAAATCTTTATAAGAACTTGAAAGTAGGTACTGTCTTGGCTATTTTACAAGTAGGAAAATTAAAGAGATGTAATTTATGGTACAATTTTTATTTATTTATTTTGTAAATTTCATAATAGTTGTGTTGGTCTATAAAATTAAAGAACTTACATAATTACTTTTGTATTCTCAGCCAGTGCACTAGGAACTAGGGGCCAAAGTTTGAAATGTAAAACCTAGTCATTCAGGTGCTTAGATAAATACAGTCATAGCTCTATAGGAATCCTCCTAGGGGTGGGTTACACTCAAGAAGGATAGAGACCGAAGGGGCCCAGGAGGAAGAGGTAGACCCTGAATTCGTCTTTGTTCTGTCCCTCTTCTTCATGCCCAGTCCATTGCTAGTTCTCCAGTCCCATTTTGTAAATGAATGTATCAAGTCTGTCCACTTTAATGCCTTCCTGCCACCACCCATTTAAACGGTTGCTATCACCTGTCTAGACTACTGCAGTAGACATGGACCACAAGGCCACCCCTAGGTCAGTGGTTTTTGAAAGAACTCACAGGACTCAGCATGTGGTTGTATTCTCAGCTGTGATTTATTATAACCAAAGGCATAGGACACAGGACAAAATTCAAGGAATGTAAGGAGCAAGCTTCCATAGGTTCTGCCCTGTGGAATGAACACACTGAAACCCACAGCAGTGAGTTGGAGTAGCACATGTGACATATTGCCTATCAGGACATGGTACTCAGGGTTTTTATGGGGGCTGGTCACATGTATACTCTCTGCCCGGCATATAGCAGAAAGCTAGACTCTCAGGAGCTTGGCATAAATCACACTGTTTATGCAAAAGTTTAGATACAGTGAGCTACCTTATCAATTAGCTGATGATGGAAACTCTCCTAAAATCCCAGACAAGCTATGTAAACAGGCCAGTCTGAGGTTCACTGTGTATTAAATTTTGGCTACACTTCTCTTGTTGAATCTTCCTGTCCAGTTCTACCCATCATCCTGTCCTTTCTTTATGCTGCAGCACTAGAGACTGTTCTAATTAAAGTTTGCCTAACTGTCAGTCTTGGGGCAAGTTCCAGTGTTGTTAGCTTACAGGTGCCTGCCTGATTGTTCCTGGCTGACTCCTTCAGCCTCAGTTTTTGGCACTCCTCACATGCTCTTCTTCAACTCCTTTGGACTTTTCAGTGGCTGGACCGAACATTTGATCTTTTACTGCAGGTCATGGTCTGTGTTCTGCCTCTGCATGACACACTCTGCCTCTTACTCCTTTTCCTTGCCTAAGCCTTGCTCATCTTCCAGTTCTCTACCTGTATTATTTCCCCTTGAAACTCTGGCTCCCTGGTTAGGGCACACTAGTTGCCTTTTCCTATAACATCTTCTACTTAGTGCTTGCCACACTTCTGAAATTGGCCTGTTTAATTATCCACACCTTCACTGAACAGTCAGTTCTCTGATCACCAGGATCCTGTGGAGTTGCAGGTGTGACTCTGACCAAGAACTCAACTGTACCTGTTCAGTGTACTGTACCTGTGTGGGTGAGGGAAAGGTGAATACAGCAGCTTTCTCTCAATTTTGAGGCCATGTGTTTCACAAAGTCAACCCTGTTGTTAGGCATTAAAGAATATCCCACATTAAAGAGTGTCCCAGGAGCTAATGCATACTTAGGTAATCTTCAGTTGTTAAAAGACACTTTTAACAGTTGTTAAAAGACACCACTTTTCAGGGTGGTTTTTTGAAGATTAAAACATGAGGGTATCATATAGATTAAAAATGAAACCGGACATTGTGGCACACGCCTGTAATCACAGCTCTCAGGAGACTGAGGCAGGAGCAAGTTCGAGGCCAGCCTGGACTATATAGTAACTCCAGGAGCAGTCTAAACTATACAGCAAGACACTCTCAAAGAAAAAAAACCACAACAACAACAAAAAAAGAATAAGAGCTAGTAGATTAGAAGTGGTAGCAGACTAGAAAAACTATAGAGTGAAATGTCCTTAAGTCAGTGGCAGCAGCACACTGTTACTGCCGTTGATCAAAGAAGTGATAGAAAACAAGCAAGATGAGAGTTTATTGGTAGCTGTGTGGGTGAATGGTATGACTAGGGGAGACCTAATTAAAGACGACAGAATAAGAAAGCAAACAATATAAATTACTTATAAATGAAGAGTAAATTACTTCCCAATGAATACAGTTGAAAGACAGTTATGATTGTTAAGGAAAATAACTTCAATTAAATTTTTATGAAGTTATAAGATTTCAAATATTTGCACATTCAGTAAAAGTACTAAACTCTGACTTTATGATTATAGAGGCTAGGCAGTTTCATGTTATATTTAGTTCTCCAAAGAGAATTTTAAATGTCAGCATTTCCTAGTGTAAATTCTGTATACTGGAGAAAGTGTCTATTCAGTACTTCTATAGTAAATGCTCATGGACCTGGAAGAAGTTTGTTTTTATTGTTATTTTTAAATGACATCTAAAGAAGTGTAGGGTTTCTTTTTTCTCTATGCTTTGTAGTTTCCAATTTGAAACTATACTTACATTTTTAAAATGTCACCAAAATTTTAGGCCAAAATTTTATTTTAATAGAGCTGAATATGTAAAACACTAACGTTTTTGAGTCATCTCATAAAGCAAATTACCAGATACATTGATTACCTGTTCTCAGTGTGAAAATAATAATATATGTTAATATATTTGTTGACTTTTTCTATATGCTTCAAATTTAAGAAGAACCAGTCATGCTACCATCTCAGATTGATTTAGGGGAACAAATTCAGTGCCGAGTGTATGGTCCTTTTCTCATAACTTTGTGCAGTTGCTCATGGTCTATCATCTAAATGTAAAATTTCATATAATTTATGTGTACCACATTATGTGGTACATGTGCTTTTAAGTCATTGTCGTGAGTAGCTTTCACAGCAGTTCAGTGTTCCTTGTGGTGCGGGGGGTCAAACACAGGGCTTTGCGCTTGCTAGGCAAATACTGCCACTGAGCCACACCCTGGTCCAGTTACCTGTTTTAATTTTATTCTTTAAAACATCAACGCATTCTGCCCATGTTGTGGTAGTAGTATCCAGTTTTTTTAAAAAATTCACCTAAAATTTAATATCCTTGGAAAATGGCATCGTGCTCCTAATTCTCTGCAGCTCTGTGTTTGAGGGACCTTGTGGTTTAATCTGAATAGTGCAGCACTCACCTTTTGCCCATCTGTTCCAGGTTGGCCAACAGCGAAAAGCAGGGTGTCCGAACACATGCTGTCTCCGTGTCAGGTAAGGGGCTCAAAGTAAAGACCTAGCAGAAAGAGCAAGCTGCAAGGTGTGGGAATGTTTTAGTCTGTCCATGGTTAATGTGGTTGCTGAATTCTAGAGTAGTTTATAAAAATAAAGTATTTGCATAATTTTACCCTCACTAAAGAGTTTTAAATATGGCTTATAGATTGTATTTTAGATGAGATGTACATGTGAAATACTAGATTGCTCACCAGGTTATATAGAATTGTCGGGGTTTTTTTAGTTTTAAAGTCATATTAATCATATTTAGAGTGAAAGTTTTTACTTTTGAAGTTGCCATTATAATTAAGCTTTGCAAACAGCAGAGTAGAATATACTTACATGTTGTTTTTTGAAGCTCAAGAAGTGTAAAACATTTTATAATGGTTATTGTCTTTCCTGATTAACATAAGATGATATTTAGATATTGGTGTTTTTAAAATATAGTTAAGATATTCTACAAGCATTATCTTAACTATCTACTGTTGTGATGAGTGTGGTGTACTTTTTTGGCATGTTTTCAAAATATATGTGCACTTTTTCCACATCTAAAAATGTGGGAGATAAATGAAGAAAAAGGAGAAAGTATCTTTCAAGGACCCAACCTGGGTGTCTTAAAGAACATATGCTGTACTGTTTATACATGCACATATATGCATATCATCTGTTCTCAGTTATAAATGTGAGCATACATGTTTCATTTCTAAAATAATACCTTCCTATTAACTTAGTGTCAATATAGAAGGGACTCAATTCCTGTTTGTTTAGTTTTGTTCTGAGTTATTTTTCCCTGAAAGTTAAGTTTTGTACTTTTGCCTACTTGATACTGGATTTTTTTTTCATGTCCAACATAGAAATGTAGTGTACTTTTTTTGGTCGTGCACTAACATCGCACCAGCCCTTTCTCCAGAAGTGTTTGTGCTTGTGTTTACATGCCTGGCAGAGATAGTAAAAATGTGTGTTGCAGTGTGTCAGCTGAGGGATCACTATTCCCCTCTCAGCACAGTGGAGAGGAGTTTCTCAGTGCTATAGCTAGTATCAGATTGCCATATGTTTTCCAGGAAATTGAAATCATCTTTAAAGCCTAATACAAGACTTACAGAGTAGTCCCAGGTTTCCAGAAGTGATGTGGGGGAGCCAGGCAACCCTTAGCATTTGTGCTTGTTTGGTTCATGGTGGGAACAGGGACTCAGTGACAGAAACCATTACATTGCCTAGTAGGATGACAGAAGTAGCCACAGGACTTCTGAGACTGTTCTGTGGAATGAGTGAGATCTGAGCTGGCCTCTGCCATATATAACTCATAATCACTGTGATCTTTCTCCATGCCGGCTTGAAAGGCAGCTTTTGAGATGAGCCTCAGGACACCATGGCCTCTGGCTGCTTTACTTACCACACATACTGCCTACAGCAACTCAGGCATAAAAGCAAGCTGAAATAGTCTTCTATTTGACTAATGAGTACTGTTCTTTGTATCTGTCTTTAGATAATAAAGTAGATCCTACCAGAACCTTCAAATTTTGTCCTTCTGTTTTGCTGGTCTCTTTTCATTAGTACCCTCCATTCTTTAGGTTTGAACCCTAGCATTTATTCTAGCAGGTGGTCATCAACAAGCCTCTTCATTTTACTTTCCCAGTCACCCCCTCCTTTGTGTTCTGCAACTTTTCATCCTGTCTTACAGGCACATTAAGAGGAAAGTTAGTTGACTTTTAGGAGCACTTGTAGGAGATATTGGTCCAGGCTTTGGTTTATGTTTTGTCCTCAAAACAGACAAATGAGATAGTTTGCCTTAGTGCCAGAAAGGTTAAATAACTTGCTCAAAAGTTACATACCTAGCAAAAGGTAGTCATTACTTAAGCAAGTCATTACTTACTTTTTCATCTGCCAGTAGAAGATGTTAGTGCACTTAAGTATCTGGCTTCAACACCCATCTTCATTTCTTAGGATTCTGATTTTGGTTTCTTTCCTAGGTGTACCGTAACAAGGAGATCATGTTTTTCCCCTTGTATTTCTTTCACATTAATTTAAATAGGCAGTTATTTGCTCAGAAACTTAATGTAAAAATTTAGTACCCATCAGATGATGCTCAGGCTCTTTAGCTCAACCCTTGAAGACTATCTACCTATTACCCGCTCTTCCCTCATCAAGTTGTTTCTCAGACACAATAAGTTGAGATTGTGGTGTCCCTTTTATCTGCATAGTAGCTCTGCTGGAGCTTTCCTATTCACCCTGGTCTTCCTGTCATTATGTTACAGTCTCTCTGTTCTACAGAGCTAGTGATACTGTCTTTCACAAAGACTGTAAAACCTAGCGTCTTCCTGAAGCCTGTGCATACTGCAGTGATGGTATACTTAGTCCAAAAGCTGATACTCAACATTTCTAGGAACATCTTTGCTCAGCTTATAACCTAGAAAACCAGTATATCAACAAATCCCAAGTTTATTTCTCTGTTATTGTTTAACTCTTGTTTGGCATGTTGTGCTGGTGCTCTATAATCATGGCCCTGCTCCTGCTAGGCCCTGTGGAATCCTGCACCTGCTCTCTACTGCAAGCCTGTTCTGTGTGCAGGCCAGTCAGATAAGACTGCTGTCTAACTGTATGCCAGTAATGTAGATTGTTTTCTTTGTCACATTATTTCATTAACACCGAAAACCCCCACAGGTAGACATTCTAATGGTCCATTTACCATTTATATTAATCTTTTCAACACACACTTGAGTAGTTTATATAGCAAGCACTATTCTAGATGTACATCTTAGGAGACTTCATCTATGAAATTTAGATGATCTTTCTCTATAAAAGTAGAGATTCAGAAACATACTTGTTATAATAACACATTTTTCTGGTCCTAAAAGGAAATTTAGGGCTTTTGTAGAACTCAGGTAGGCCTCAGCATGTATGTAAGAGGGTAGTGTTGGGTAGTCAGTCCTGAGTGATCTGTAGATGTGCTCAGAGAGGGAGGAGTGGCCTGCATGACGTGGTTCCCCCTGGAATTGTGAGTGTACAGAAATAGAGATATTTCCAAGTCAGTGAAGAAAGTTGAATTTCAAATATTTTGACTTGAATCTGGTTGGTTAGTTTTTGTGTTGGTGGATATTTGTTTGTTTTTGGTAAGAAGACCTTTGCTTTTGAGAGGTAAAACCTAAGACATGATCGGAAATATATGATGGTAATGATGCCATTCTGTTATGTCCATGACTCTTGTTTGGATTTTACATAAGACTGTAAATTATACTTTTTCTTTTTCTATCTCTTATGACAATGCGTGAGTATAGTGATCTTTTTCATCTGCCAGTAGAAGTGTTTAGTTGACTGTCTCTGCCAAGACCTTTGTGTCAAAAAAACAAATATATCACCTTGGAATATTTTATCAATATTATTACAAGTTTTTAAAATTTATAACAGATTATTTTGGCTTGGTTATTAATCACACAGCATACTTTTTATATACGAGATTATTTCTAGGTATTTCAAGTTAATGACTGAAAATTATTATGAATTACAGTGGACCCTTGACTTATGAATTCAATTTGTTCAGGAGGACTGGTTGTAACTCAAGTTGGTTGTAAGTCAAGAGTATTTTTCCCATAAGAAATAATGGAAATACCCATAAAGCATCCCAGATGTCCCAAAGTACCCCTTAAATAACCTTTTCATGATAAAAAGGGTTGTATAATGTGAGTAATTTACCAAAAACACCAATAATTTTCCAAGTGTATTCACCAAAAGCTATAAAATGTGCCTAGTTTACCAGAAATAATTTTATACTGTACACACCATTCAAACTGACACTTTGGCTTGCAGGGAGGGAGGATGAAATGGAAGGTAGTTATTGTTTGGGTGGAGAGTCTCCTTTTAGAACAAAATCAGGAATCTGGCTCTCAGGTGTCCTTTTTCTCCTTGGGTGAGGCTGTAGCAGCCCACTAGGACTTGCTTCTGGTTCACTAGGTCTCAACCTTTTCAGAACTAAAAACTGGTCTAAGGTTGCCTATTTCCATCTTTTCTTTAACTTTGTTCTGTAGTATGACATGACATCGTCATTAAGCAAGTCAGTGCAACAATTAGCTTTTTGTTTGTCTGGGTGAATCTTCTCTACAAATGTTTGTAGTTCTGTCCACCTTTTCAAGATTTCCTTTATTTTAGAAGAACTTCGCTGCACTGATTGTTGAGACTCCCCTTCCTCTTCAGAAAGCTCCTCAGCTACCATTCTCTCTTGCTCAGCCAGAAGTTACTGAAGTTCCTCTGTAGACAGTTCCTCTGAGTATTCCTCCGCCAATTCCTCAACATCACTGCTATCTACCTGCAAGATTATGGACTCTACTATAGTGACAGTATCATCAACCACAGGGTCAAGTGAAGGCTCAGGCTCCTCTACACAGCCTTCAAAGTCTCCCTCCTGTATAAATTTAGGCCTCACTTTATCCAGGCTATTCTCGGTGTCCTTAGACATTGGCCTAGGATTTCTCAGTTAACCCCAGACAGGAAATGATGTGGCAGTGTTTCTTCCAGCACTCTTCAAGAGTTAACTGTGTATCTGAAACTATCTGGAAGTACTTCTCAACAGTTCCTTGATATATAGCTTCTTAAAGTTAGCTATGACCTGCTGGTCCATAGGCTGCAATAGGAGTTGTATTGTTAGGAGGAACTTGACTGAGAGCCAAGGGAATTCTTCGGCCAGTTCTTTGTCCAGATCTCATGGGTGAGCAGGAACATTGTCCGTGATGAGGAGAACCTTGAGTGGCAAACCTTTATTCTCTAGATATTTCTTAACAATAGGCCAGAAAACCTCCCTGATCCACTCAAGAAAAAATACTCTTGTTACCCAGGCTTTTGCATTAGATTTCCACATGACTAGCTAGCCTATTCTTTCCACTTTTATGTTTTCTGAAGGCTTTATGGGACTCAGAGTGATAAACCAAGAGAGGCTTTATCTTGAAGTCACCACTTGCATTGGCACATAGCAGTAAGGTTAGCTTATCCTTCATAGGCTTGTGGTCTAT